TTTTCATAACTCCCGACGGAAATGTCAGTCGCCATTGATATTGAGATTGAGAGGATCAATCTCGGAAAAGTGTAACTTTTATGAATCAGTTACACAAAATTAGTTACACTGAAAATTATTATTACACGAACGTAATTCTTTATGTGCATTAAAGGGTTGGGTTGTTTGAGAAAAGAAAACTGGCAACAGTACATTCTGCGCGAGATGGAAGACTTTATGCGGAACGGCAGATTGACTCGTTAAAACCTCGAAAACGTCGTTATTCACTTCACTAAATTCGCTCGCCTTGTCAATGTGCATATTACGTACGGTTGATGTCTGCCCTTTACGTTGTTCGTTACAATGATGCGAGCCAAACGTGATAGAACGTAAATGAGATCCGGTCGTTAACTAGTCTCGTAATGGTATGCGATAGTGATATCGACGTGTTATTCAATTCCCGTTCAAGCTTCAGCATAGATATTATAGTAAACCGCTATAGTCTTCTTTAATATTCACTACTTACGTCTTATCGACGCGCTGTATCACGTATCCTCTGTATTTTCGGATATATATACCGGAAAGTAATGCGCGTTGTGAAAATTGTCAAAATTGAATGAGTAATCGAGACATTAAACGCGTGCATGTGCGGAGCTTCAAACATGAAAATATAAAATTGTATAATACGACTGAATGTCTCGATGTTTGAACAACACGCGTGAGACAGAGCAATGCTGTCGGTGTTGTTTCAGTTCAACTAGCATTAATGTAAAAATATAGAAGAGAATGCAACGGCATCCGGTATTTGTCCGCTTCCGGCGCATTTAAACGTGCGCATCCACGCAGTAGTAGATGTAGAAGTTGATGTTCATCCGGGGCTATCGTAATTTCGGGAAAAAAAAAAGTTGTTTTCGGAACACGGTGGCAGTACACCGGTGAGAGAGACGAAGATTTCATTTCCAATTCTCAGTGTGACGTTACCTCGAAGCCGTAAAATACATGGCGCGAATGGACAAACTTCGCAAATAGCTCCGGACAGTATGTACGTATGTAGTCAACACTTACGCGCCTATACACCTAGTCGAGTGCTATGTACTTGCGCAATCGAATGACAAGTCGCAAACGAGTTTTGAATTGAATATTTCATCGGCCGACCCCGACGGCTACGCGACTACGCAACTTTCTCGTCTCTTGACAAAAGCGCCGATATCGTACACGTACAAACTGATTCGCTTGATTCTTCCCAACGGGAATTTCGAGCCTCGCGACGCGACAAGCGGATACAACTCGACTCACTCGATTGCGAATCGACGTGACTGTTCTACAACGGAAATTATTCTCGCTTCCCTGTTACATCGTTTACGGCGACCGATCGTTAGTGCATTGAGTGCTTTGTATCAAATATATTTGTTCACTTATGTACGCACATTGGCGCGGATAAACACACATTGTGTATGTGTGTCTGCGCGCGCGTGCGTGCGTGTGTGGCATACACGCGAAGATATTGATCGCGGCTCGTTCATTAAGCAAGTCGTAACAATTACGTTTCTAATTCGATATTTCGGGGGAAACAGTATTTCGGGAGAAAATTTACATTATAATTGTCAACCACGATCTATCAAATCTGTTTGGCGAGAAGTGAGAAGGATGTATAAAGAATGCACGACAAACGGCGGGGAAGAACTAAGAGTTCTTCTTTCATACTCAGTAAGTGAAACCGTCCGAGACATTTCTTCGCGCACTTACAGATAGAGTTACGTCGACTTTAATGCGATGAGACCGCGGCGGCGGAAGTGGTGGTTTTTCCAAAATCCTTGATGAAATTGCACCGCATTACCGTAAGTGCGGCTTTCGAGAAGCGATCTTGGCGACGACCGGATTAGACTTTCATGAGGATTTGAGAACAGGCATCCGTACATGTTACTCCAAACAACTTAGTATAATGCCAGTGCTATTACAGGGAGAAAGAGATAGATAGATAGATAGATAGATAGAGAGAAAGAGAGAGAGAGAGAGAGAGAGAGAGAGAGAGAGAGAGAAAGAAAATGATATTTCTCCGAATCTGAGAATCGATGAGGCGATTACAAGTCGGGAAAGTCTGTAAGCGCGCGCGCATTACACGTCGTTATATACTTTCTCATACCTTGGTGTGTCTTTATATACAGGGTGAGCCATTTTAATCGACGGATCCAAATTGCTCCTCAAAAGGTTGCTAGCTACAAAAAAGGTTAAGACAAGAATTGTAGAGGACAACGGGGATCATTTTGCCGTGCTAATAATTTTGACTTTCAGATCGATTTTCAAGGTCATTCGAAGATCAAAGTCATTTTTTTAAATTAGAACCTCTATTTTTGACACCGGATTCGAAAAGAGCAGAAAATTTTACGTTAAAAATGATATTTAGATTTTTTTTTCTGAGTCCAAGAAGGTCAAATAAAAAATGATTAAAAACAACTTAGAAGCTGTTAATGTTAATTTTAAAGATTTTTATTCATGATAAGTGTTTCGCGGTACTAACAAATACTAATAGAAGAAAAGTTGTGAAACGTTGTCATTCCATTTCTGAAATTGATGCGCAATAATCTCACTTTGATATGATTATTAATAAGGCGTAATAAATAAAATTTTAAAAGTAAAAACAAACACTTTTAAAGTATTGCCTTTAACAATTTTTCTTTTTTAAGTGCAGGGTAACTTGAAAAATTTTTTTTAAATATGGCTGACTATCCTCCTAATGAAATTGTTGATATGATATTAATTTTAGGGGAATGTCATAATAATGACATTACGATGCTGCGTCAAGGCTTTATGCTGAACGCTATCCAGAGAGGAGACATCCAAACAACACGACAATACGAAGATTAACTCAAAGAGCTCGCAATGGACATCTTGTTCGGCAACGACGATGTCATGACGAAAATAAAAACCTAAATATCATTTTTAACGTAAAATTTTCTGCCCTTTTCGAATCCGGTATTAAAAATAGGAGTTCTGATTTAAAAAAATGACTTTGACCTTCGAATGACCTTGAAAATCGATCTGAAGGTCAAAATTATTAGCACGGTAAAATGACCCCCGTTGTCCTCTACAATTCTTGTCTTAACCATTTTTTTGTAGCTGGCGTATTTTAGGAGCAATTTGGATCGATTAAAATGGCTCACCCTGTATAGTCATACCTTAATATTTCACTTATATAATACTTTTATTTACTTTACATGCATTTTAATATACTTTTTGCGCTGTGCGGAAATTGTTTGACGTTCCGGGGTAATAAGTTCCGAGGTACAAAGAGCTCGAACGACATTATGACGCGTAAGAAGACGCATCTTGAGCCCTGCGACTTTTCTCTCCCCCTTCCCCCTGCCCTCCCTCTCACGCTCGTCGACGAGACCTGAAATTGCACTTGCATGAGGATCCCGATATATACGGCTGACTGCAGACGGACGACACGACTCTTTAAAGCCCGATCGGCTCGACTATTGAAGTTCGAGCGCTGCCACGAGACGGATGCGCGTCTTCACGCCGGCTCTCCCGGCGAAGAGGTCAGCTTGTAAATTTGTGCGGGAAGTAAATGTCCGGAGGCCGGTCGAGCGAAATTGACGTTTCAGTTGGTATTCGGCGAAGGAGCCGACGTGCTCCTATAGGGTTCTGTACGATCGCGTCGGACGGAGAATACGAAGCGATTCCGATAAACGCGAGCTGTACCGAGATTGCGAAAACGATCGCGACGTGATACATGTCGCGCTGATAATGGCGCTATAAATGGAACAGACAACGTAATTAAAATGTCCGCGAATGCAAAGTAAACGGGTAAGAATGAAAAGAGAGAGAAAAAAAGTAACGAAAGAATAGGAAAAACTAGCAATCTGCTAATCCTCTTAGCGACAATGTTCGCTGCGTTGCTTTAATTACGTGGAAAAAGGACTACTATGTCCTCTTTTACATGTCGGCCGGGACTTCGCTCGGCCCCCTCGACGTGCGGTTTTCCCGCGAGAGGTATACTTACACCAGGGAAAGGAAAAGAAGTCTAATCACCGTAGATCGCGACGCACGCCGTAAAATTTTACAGGGCGCCGAAAGTTGGACGAGAGAGCTCGCTTCGGGGTTCGGCGGCGGTGAGCCGAGGAGGCGCACGGAAAGTCGGACCAACTTTCGCACCAGACGAATCACTCTTACAGCTCGTGCAGTTTCCCGACGACCCCGAGGCCATACGTAGTGATCAACTTTAGAGAGCGGATAATTAAGTCTCAAGTTCCCCTCCTACTTTGCGCGATTCCCAATCCCCGCGTCGCGTTTATTATATATTACGATGGTATCGCGGAATTATCTCGCGGATTCGCGCGTCGATACGCTCCTCGGGTCTCCGCTGCGCGTCCGCACGATCTGTGCAGATTTAATTGGAAAATTCGTTTTCTCTTATCCTGTGCACTTTTTCACGACCGAATTCGCAGGTGCAGATGTAACAGAAGTTCCTTTGTGTCATGGAGGTTGAAATTAACTCTTTTACTACTGCGAGGACGTATATATTCTCCGCCCCAAACGATCTAAATCTGCTATTGGTTTTATATTAATTAAGATTAATTGTTATTAATTTTGCCGCCGGAACAATAGCGAGCGACCATTTTTGCTGACAGATTAATTCTTTTTCTCCAAAAAGTTGCTTTTTTTGGGAAATCAAAGTTCCCTCAGTCATTGAAAAATATTGAAAGGGTTAACCTTTTAACGGCGGGATTGATCGATATATCGACCAGCAGTTAGATTGGCGACTCCACATAAAAAATTCATTATATTTATAGCTAAATTTTGCGTAAAATAAGAAGTCGATTTCAATTGAAATTCATTCCCGCCGTTAAAAGGTTAAGAACTCGTCAAACCTCGTCGCTGTCGCCTTCGCGAGCGACGACACTCGCGCTCGATACGCGCCGTACAAAAATAACTACGTTGACTTTTTCGTGGATATCTCAATCGCTGCATGTCTCGTTTCGTTGCGTCGATTCAGGTCGAGTCGTCGTGTAACGCACCTTGCAGTTGAGTGATATTCCTGGTGATTTTGTGGCCGTTAACAAGCTGCTCGCGCAGGTGTGATCTGTCGCGATGTCGCTGATAATTGGCGATAACGATCGTGATCGTCGCCAGAACGAGGAGGAATCTCGACCCCCACGCTTGTCTCGTCATCGCCCGTCACCGTGTCTCGCATCCCCCGCAGTTTTTGCGAATATATAGTCAGACAATCGTCGACGAGGCGGACGAGGGGTGTCCGCGCGTTTTGCGAAGGAAGACTCCGTTCTCTATGTTCTGAAATCCAAACATGACTGAAGGATGCGGGCGTCCTTGCGGACCCGGATGTCCGTTCCGCGGAAACCTTAACTAGACACACATACACACATATGCATGCATACGAACAAACATGCATACATGCACACAGAGCATTGATAAATGAATATTAGAGCGGTCTCATGCCGTGTAATCGGGAAGACAAATAAAGCGAAGCGACTGCGAATTGGAAACGGGTAGGAATCGATAATCAAGGGAACCCTTCCGAGCAGAGAGAAAAAGAGAGAGAGCGTCGCTCTGTTTCTTCTGCTTTTATTGTGTATTTGTACAATGCAAGATTGCGTCTCGCGTAACGGTTTCCTCCATTTATTCAGTTGCACGGTCGCGCACATGTAATTTCTCGAGATTGACAATGCCGTCGAAACGAAGCATTTCTTGAGTTCCCTGCAGAACAATTAGGCGCGACTCTCTCGATTGTATTATATATTCATCTCTCTTTACTCGAATTTAACGAAGAGATCACAGGGGAACTCGAATCGGCTTGGTTACTTGCCGGGGTTGATGCCGCAGTGCGTATACGTGGTTCTATATCGCTTTTGTTCATGTATATGCATCACGTCGAGCGGAGCGCGCGAATAAACAAAAACAAAAGTCACTGCGGACACAACGTAGGAGCAAAAATTCGAATGCACCGGAAACAGGCGCGAGAATATAGTTGTCGCGCCCGAAATTTATTATTTTATTATCCCGATGCGCGGCCCCGTCGAGTCTTATTATTCCCTGACTTCTTTCTTTTCTTCCTGGTCCATATTCAAAGGGGAGGACTACAAGGTGCGAAAAGAAAAGATCGCGCGGAAAACGCAATTTCACCTTCGGTCTTTTCACAAGTTGCGGAAGCGGAGCGGGAAACTCCGCGCGAACTTCGCCTATATTGTTTTCTAAGGTGTCCGCGCGTCTAATGGAATCGATGTTACCGAGTTTGACTCGTTAGATTTTGCCGACGGAATATCGGCATATTCCCACCGCTGCAGTCGCGGAATAATTATTGAAGAGCGTGAGAGGTAGAAAAAGAGGGACAAAGATAAGCAGAGATAAGGGACGGAAAATAGCGGAGAACGGAGAGGAGGATGGCGCAGGAAGAAACACGAAGCGGCGACAAGACTAGGGTAACGTCACTTCGTGCAGTTTTGTAAGGGAACGCGGGCCAGCACGGTCCGTGGGAGGGAGACAGAGACAGGGGCCGAGAGAAACGGAACTTTTGCAGTTTCCTCGGAAATGCAGCCAGCTACAGCTGCACGCGGTCATAGAGCAAAAACCGCGATCTCACCGAGAAAGAGCGTGCGGATGACCGAGAGGATGAGAGAGAAAGAGAGAGAGAGAGAGCGAGGGAGAGAGGGGGGTGTGCCTTCGCGGTTTTCATCCGGAAATATGTGCACGCGATTCGCATACGGCGCGGCCGGACCGGGCGTCGTTAGGCAGCCGGATTATTGTGTCCGAATAACAAAGTAAATGGATTTGCAATGCAAACTTTTGCCATTCTTGCGCAAACGATATTTTCGCGACGATAGGCGCTCTTCTATGACCGCGCGCGCTAAACTCTCGCGCGCACGACGGCGCGCATTCATCTCGCTCACGGTGGATACCGCGCTCTTTTAATTGCTATCCGAATCGATCGTTTTATCGCGTTCGCTCGCTATATCTCTGCGTTGGAATACTCGAATACTGCTAAGTTTACGAAACTATAGTTTAAAAAGCAACAGCAATGACAGCACACGACGGTACATCGTCGTTTCATGTTTTCGCGGTGAACAACTCCGTTTGTTATTTTGTGCGACACGCGTGAAAATATATAGACATGGGAATTTTTACGGTGAAATTTGCAACGTTTCGGCATTTATATAAACACGCGCAATCGTTATCTTATATTTATATTACTCTACCATGGGAAAGAGCAATTTCATGTACGACGAGGCAGACAGGGAAGTGGCAGAGGGATAGGGAGAGAGAGAGAGAGTGTGACCGATGAAATATTTACGAATGGACACATACGCAAAATAATTTATACGTGCGCGCTGACGGTGCCAATGACAGTAGGATCGCGATACAGGCGGCTCTCAAAGATTTCCTTCGGAGTAACGATCTGCTTTTCGGCTTTGGGAGCAGTACGCGGAATCCGCTACAACGCTCCAGGAAGTCGTTTCCCACCGATATTTATGACGCGACGAATCGCATGACCTACTGCTGAAATCGTAGTTGAAGTAGCTCGCTGCATTTCCTGTGAAGAGCATTTTCACGCGGCACGGCACGTTCGCTGCTTTTCTTGGCGGACAACTCTTTTTTTCGGAACGTATGCTCGCAATTATGTGTGCACATCGTTGGAGAGAAAATTGCCGAAGGAAAATTCTTGAAATCTCCGTCTCATGTTTCCCGTGCTTCCCTCTTTCTTTTTGCTCTCGTTCTCATCCTTTCTTATTCATAATTCTTATCCGTACTCTTTCATACAGATATAACTGTATTTGTATTATAAATATCCTTTCTCGATAATTATCCGTATTTTTTTTAATGCTTGGCAATTATCGGTTAAATAAATCAATCTCCGTACTATTTACGATGTTACAAAGTTAATTGGATTTAAAATGGAGTTAATTGGCTTTAAAATGGAGTTAATGGGCTTCAAAATGTCACTTGGCGACTCGCGCTGTACGAATATAAATGTAATGCCTCTTAAACGTCGCAAACTGCAGTTAATAGGAGAACAAAGCCGTCATTTTGTTATAATGATGCAGTTGTGCATTGCATTTGGAAAGGGTTTACACCGCGTGTACCGCTGATGCCGCGACGCTTCCGCGTAAACTGTCCCAACGCTTTATGACGTGTAACGTCATATACAACATGTCGGGTTGTCGCTATGTTTAACAATGAGGCTGGCCGACACAAAGATCGCAGTGTTATCGCGTTTGCGTAATGAGACAATTTAAACTAAAGCACACCGATTGTTAAAATAGTGCCAGCTCCCTTGTCGAGAGAGCCAAGGGAAGGTTACGGGTTAAAGCTCCCGGTATTTCTGCGTGCAATGTAGGCCAAATTCCGCGCGTTAACTTTAGACTAAAGAGTGAATTTTTTCCCTCAAATTGCCGTTTCGTCTTATAACTATAATATCTCTCTCTTTGGTTAAAAATTAATGAGAAGTAAAGGCGATCATAAAGAATACGAGGAGCAAAGTACACGTGAATTTCGCCGTATCGTGAAGAGAAGATACCGTTCGTACAAAGAGCTTCGTTCACGTGAATTTACGTAAATTTCAATTTGACAGAGACTTTCTCTCTCGGAATCGTTTTTGTCGGACGTTTCCACGCGATGATGTATTAACACACGAAACAGAAGACGAATACACACAATTTGCCTAATTGATGTACTCGTGGGACGAACGCATCTCCGATAATTCCGTGTCGCTTTTCTTCTTCTTTTTCTTCTTCGATCGATTACGCGCGAATTAATGACGGGCAAAACAGTATAGTCAAATGTAAAATAATGTCCGGAGATTTGAGATGCGAAGGAGCAGTTGTCCCGTTCGTTTTATCGGCGTTCATTTTACATCCGCTCTTGCGAGACTCGCTCGGAGGGATTCAAGTTCCACAAGGGTCCTTCAACTAGCAAAGGGACTGCAGAAAACTCGGTTCTGCCGGCGCTCGTGGGAATTCAACTCGCGGCACGTCTCAGAATCGATCGATCTTCCTCGCCGACTCACTACGATGTCACGTTGTTGCAATCGGCTACCGATACCGGAAAAGGAGTCCCGATGAGAAGCCACGCAACAAACTTGCCGGGCAACGGCGTGGGCGACGAGGACGACGGCATGGGCGGCGCGGACGGCGCGACGCGAGTTCCGTAATTATTAAACTTCGTTTCGAACCGCGTATCTCTAACATTTGCGGAAAGAATCACGTTGTTTCCCTATCGTCGTTTGCATGAAACTTTCATGTTTTCATGTAGCGACTCTTGAATAATCACGATCACTCAGCGGCTTACGTGAACGAGGCAGCCCGTGAAAATGCATGCGAGCGTCGGCTCGCGACTTATCGATAAATCATCATAGGCATCGACGCTGTTTGATACGTTATCCGAGTCCGCGATAAAAAAGACTCGGGAGAGGAGGGGAGAAAAGGAAGAAGTAGAAGAAGAAAAAAAATCGAAACGCCAGATAGCGCGCAAATGCCGCGATCGATGGCCGACGGAATAGCGTACGAAACGCGCGCGCGGAGAGAAGAGAGTCAGTGACGGAAGAGCGAAACGGTATGAGAAACTCGCGGCCCCCGGAAAAGGATACGTTACGGTCGAATCGTATGTTACTCCGTTCTCGAAACTGACAACTAATTGCTATGTATGTCTCTAATGGCGGCCCGCAAATACCGCTACTTTGCGCGCGCTCCGACAAAAGCGCCATTTATCAGGCGTCCATTTTATCATAAGGCTTTTTTCGAAAGGGGAAAAAGGTGCAAGAGAAAAAGAGAATGTGTGTGTGTGTAGGCAAAATTTATCGAGGAATCAGTCGCAAAAATTTCTCTCGGAAACATTGGCATGCTGAACGCTGTAGTATATGTAGATATACTGTCTTTAACATTCGCGCGACAGTATGATACGATTCTTTCGCGAATGCCCGAAGCGTAAAAATTTATCGCGTGTCTTTCGTGTACGCGTGTCAAGACGATGCGGAAAGGGCGTTCATGCCGAGACGAGAAATCGAGCCAAAGTTCAGGCGAGATCCGACGCCTTGACTCCGCGAAACGCGACTCCTTGTGACTATTTAGCAACCAAGTTTGAATTGTGCTCACGTAACGGGAAGTTTATAAGCGAGGTATTGCACCGTGCATTACAGCGTGATACTATTAGCGAACGCTTAGCTATTGACTTTTCGTGTGTAAACGTGTGCCGCTGGAACTCGCGCTTTTTTTGTACACGCTCTGCCGCTGTGTTCTTCGAACTGTGTTCAGTGCATTATTGCACGCGTTGGCGAGGAAAAA